CACGCTCATAGATATATGGCTTGTTTTCTGATACACTTTGTTGCACTGACAGGGGTCTTTTCGATCATTTCAGCTCTCAAAACGAAGAAATCAACAAGTCTGAAGGCCACGAAGGTCATCACTCTCACGAGCTCATTGCTGGTGCTGGTAAGTTGATGAGTTGCTACCTTTATCATTCACTTATCTAACATGTAACCCTTTTGTAGCCATGTACGAAGCTGTTAAGGCTTACAACGAGCACTGCGAAAAGGAAGGCAAGCCCGCTGACCATGCCAAGGCCAAGCAAGTCCTTGGTGGCCTTGCTGGTGCCGCTCTCACCAGACTTATCGAAACCAAGGGTTTGGACTATGTTGACAAGGTCAAGGCCCAAAAGGCAGCTGAAGAACACAGCCACGCTTACGTCGACGAGACCCACTAAATGCACATTTTATACCTTGTAAAATAAAACTACAGACTACAGTCTTCAGTGTATAACAAAAAAACGCGATTTATGTCATGCATCTGTTGGATTATCCAATGCTGCTTTGCATCATGTGCTGTGGAATAAGCAAGATCACATGTACTGTCAAAGCACTTTAAACATCACCACACGTTAATACTTCTGCGTGTATGTGAATGACGTACCTGGATAGCGTGCTGAGTTGCTGGTCAACGCTTTCGAGAAATATGAGTGGATGACTTGATTTCAACAGCATCTCTTCGCGTAGCGAAGAGCTGCTGTCATAAAGGATAAAGTGGGTAACATTTGTATTCGTTGAATAGCATTGCAACATCACTACTTCGATTTTTATTCATGCATTACAGCATTTGCTATCACCAGTGTTTTTTGATACATACTACTGACATTTGCTACAACGTGAAGTTCTCTTTGGCATACCATTAAGAATATTGATCGTTGTAGACCTAGGTTATTCTGAAAAGTGATTGTTTTGCACGATATCAGATACAATAGTTGATGCAGTATGCATGGTATCCAGATGAAGAAATGTACGTGGGAAATAGATCATCTTGAGAGCAAGCTTCTCTCGTAATAACAAACAAACACTGGATTGATAGATTCAAAGGAATTGTTCTTGTATTGGCGTGGCACGCCTTGTACTTTCATGTCACCGACAACTCGCTTAGGCATTTGCAACAGATACGCTTAACACACATATCACTCTACGTTTATGATATCATTATCGTCATCATCACCAAGGTTACTGTGTTGCTACTAGTTGCTGGTGTTATCTTTGAATATATCTTTGATCTCATTTTCCTCATTCATCATCCAAGTCATGTATATCTTCATGACGGTCGAATACGACTCAATATCAGAGAGCGGGAATAGTGACGAGATTAATTGTTGGTCAATATTGACTTGCATTGGAGTGTTAATTGTGTGCTTGATTCCTTTGCTTTTTGAACGTTCTGCTTCACGACTTCTCTTGTTCTTTATGATGGTTTCGTCACCCATTGGTTTCGAAAGTAAACCTCTTATGCATTATTTATGCAGCGATGGTGTTGCACCAACTGCCAATTACTATTCCCCTTTCTCCTTTGCAGAGATTCCAGCCTATTTATAGTTACCATTCTTTCATTCTATTGACTGCTATGGCTCCACCCACACCATCCGTACCGGATAATACAGGTGAAAATGTGCGGAATAATGATGATAATCGCCCTAACCTATTTTTCCTGTATCGAACGGTATGGCGTTCACATACATGGCTTAAATAAACTTTTCATTCTATTACTACAGCTCTCTGTGCAACATGGTAGCTGAAACGATAAAGTGGTGCCAACCGTGCCTTTTTCTGGTAACAAGCTCGAGAAGCATGTAACAGTTGCTGTGTGGCGAAAAGAGATAAAAAGGATCATTATCTTGCTCTTGTCGATTTGATATCTTTTCTTGTTTCAGTCAACATGCAAGTAGCTATACAAACTCATACATATATAACGTGTTTTCTGATATACTTTGTTACACTGACAGGACACTTTTTGACGATTTCTGTTCTCAACACGAAGTTCACAGGATCAACCGGAAGGCTACTAGCCGGGTTTCTCGTAGGAATTCATTGCTGGTAAGTTGATGACATGCTGCCACTTTACATATAACCCTTTGCAACTATGTTCCAGGGTATTAAAGATTACAAAGAGCACTGCGAGAACGAAGGTAGCCTACTGACCATGGAACAGCCAAGCAAGTCCTTGGTAATTTTGCTGATGGCTCTCTCACTAAACTTATCGAAACCAAGGATTTGGACTATATTGACCAGGATAAGCCCAAGAAGCATGCTCAAGAACAAATCGATGCATACATAATGGGACCCATAAAATGCAGAACAGCTTATAACAAAGGCATTCGAGTTGTATCAGATGAAAAAAAGTAATATACTATTTGGAATCAGCTAGAGTTATGAAATATGCTGTGCAACTTTTGTTTCAATGATACCAATCACAATACTCCCAGTGTAATCGAAAATGATTGAAGGATACGAGCTATATGACGTTTTGATCATCCCTGTGGAAAGCCATGTACGTACGTGACAGTGACATTGATGATACGAGCACGTCTACAAACAGCATGTGATTAACAATCACGGTATGACATGCGTGATAAGTTGTCGATCACTTTCTTTCATTAGCATCCAACATATGTATCGATGAATGTAATCTTTGACTCCGATTAGCATTATCCCTGGTTTTTATAATGACCATTATACAAGGCAAAAGTGGAAGTGCCACCGCTGTGTATAAGTGGCTCTTGTGTTTTATCCCATGATCTATGGTACATTGAAGCTTTCGAAAAAGGAAGAACCTGTCAATATGCTGCTGTTCACAACTTTTTCCCAAAACAGTACGGGATGAGGGATATTTGGAATAAACCAAACACATTGATGTTCTCAATGAAGCATTTATAAGTTTAAAGTGAAAAGCGATAGGAATTATTATTATTGATATCATTGAATACTATTTGCTTTATACGGTCATCCCGCCCAAACAACAAGTCTCCCTGATAACCCCTAAAAGCATAATGAAAAAAAACACACAGGCCTTGTAGATTGTGCCACACAGCCTCCTTGAAAAAGGGAGCCATCAGTGCTGCCAAAAAGGGAACCATGTATTTTCGCACTCTCACCATCGTTTCTCTCTCTTGTTGTTACAGCATGTATTCACCTACACAACCATCATTTGGTTTTGAGAATTCCTATTCCACATCCACTGGTTCCTCCTCTCCACCTATTTCTCATCATCCACAACAGGAACATCCTTTTGTACCTACACCCAGTAGCAGCAACAGTAGGCGTAACAGTAACAGTCGGCTTTTCAACCAACATTCACCACCTATACCACATCCTTCTTCTTCATATCAACTCTATCAACGACGCCATGAAAATAGTTTTGGAGCAGCAGCTGCTTCTATGGCTTTGAATCCCAGTGGTGGACGTTCAATTCCTTTTGCTGATGCTCACACGCAACACAATTGGTTTGGTAACAGCCTTGATTCAGCAACACCAACATCACCAACGGCATTTGGTCAACCGCCACTATTCCAAGAGCATGATCTTGCTCCTTCAACGTCTACAGGTCATATTGATGGTAGTGGTGGTAGCTTTACAACTGGTGAGGAGGATGAAGTACAACAACGCAAGTAGGCATCATGCTTTCGTATACACGTGCACCAATGATACTAATTCTTTTGCATAGTTTGCAGGAAATGTTTGAAAAGCGCCGTCGACGTCGTGAATCCCATAATGCTGTTGAGCGTAGGCGAAGAGATAATATCAATGAAAAGATTCAAGGCAAGTGATCAAGATATGTGATGACAATGAAATGGTTACTCATTCATTGTGTAGAGTTAGGTTCATTGCTCCCAGATCATCTGATTGACGCAGTACCACCTACAGCCAATGTCATGACAACGTCCTTACCACAAGGCAACCATGGTAACCCTGCTATCAGAGCAATCAATAAGGGAACCATTTTAAAACTATCCGTCGAGCACATCAAGGAACTTTACTCGGAGCTATCGAGATACAAGGATAAGATTAATCAACTCGAGCATATGGTCAAGGACATGAAGCAACATCATGATCGCTTAACTGGTGATGTTATTGAGCAACAATAGCAATGATCTCAGTACATTTGTCATAATACTCTCGCTGTAGTATATGAATAAACTTTATTGTTTTGGTGATTGTAAGTACTGATGCATGCGTAGTATGCATATACACGGAAGCATGAATTACATTAATAACATAACCCGTGCATTCCATGAACCTAATCCCATCATAATATAACACTCTATTCTACTTCGTCACGCACACCACAGGATGAGTGGGTCCATTCCATATAAACCATCGTGATTGACAATTATTTAAATGTAATTCATATTGTATTTTATTGACTATTCCTATGCTCTCCCTTCTCTCTTCTAACAAGAATGCTAAATGATAATCATAAAGACATTTGAAACATGATCAAAAGGATGATTAATATGCATTTATTACTGAAGAGCTTTAAGATATATTACAAGAATGACACTTTCACTAAAAATCATATATGTATTATGAGTACGTTGATATGAACCCATATGTTCAACTCTGGAACCAGGTAAAAAGGACAATGCTTATCATGACACAATGGTCACAATGCTGCTGGCATGTTAATACTGTACCTATGTGTCCCAGTGTTGTCCTTTAAGTTGAAGAAAGATTTAACATGAGGAGCTGAGAGCAAGCGCGTAAATCATGCGCGCGCAAGTCGAATTTTAAGATCCCGCTCGCATACACCATCTGGGTTGCAACCACCATACATGTTGACTTTATCACTAAATTAATTTCTCCACACTTCCCAACCATATAACACATTTTGACCATTGGTTTCCTCGTATACTCCGCTGCAAGTCAATACCCATTACCATATCATTATTCGAAGCTTTTTAAACTTTTCTTATTTCCTTTTTAGGAAATTTTGATATTTATCATGTTTTTCAACGTCGCGAAAACAAGAGTGGAGCCTGGTTGGCTAAGTTGGTTATAGCGTCAGTCTCATAATCTGAAGGTCAGCGGTTCGACCCCGCTACCGGGCACTCATTTTTGCATCTTTCCGCTGTGGAAGATGCTTTTTTTTCTTTTTTTGGCTGATTTTGTTATACTGATCAGCTTTTATAACATTGCTTTAAGTCGATATGATAGGTGTGGAGTTATTTGAGATGAGAACAAGTGCAGATGTAGCGTGAAAACAGATCTTTAGCAACATATTGGGACTCGTGTATCAGTATCCTTTTAGTAATGCATGTGCATCTAACACAGCATGAGAGTGTATCTGCCAAGCAAACTCGGATGGTCTACTGAACACACATCTTTTATACCCGCCGAGCGTTGTGTCATTCCTTCTGGTAATACCTAGCAGTCATTTTACAATAGAGCCTAACATGAATATCAATGCAGTGCAGTGTTTTGAATTGCTTGCAGTTCATTACAAGATATATTGAGCATCTCAGAGTATGATTGTGGATGAAATATGCAGTCTTTATTACACCATCCAATCGAGCACCCTTTGTTAAAAATGTATCAACAACTCCAAAACAGTCAATGTTGTACCAAATCATAAACATATATGCTTAATTGTTTGCAGAATGAAATGAGGGAAATGGATGATTATGCTACAATGTTCTAAAGATGAAAGGAAAAGGGAGTTACTCAATTACGTTTAGGGGCACCAGTAGGTTTCTTGTTGAAATTCCTCTTGGGTCTACCACCAGTAGACTTGCCAGTGAACTTTTTGCCACTGGGTGATGCATCCTTTTTCTTGTTGAAATTCTTCTTGTTGGGTCCACCAGTTTTTGAGCCACCATCCGATGACCGAGCGAATTGTCTCTTATCATTGATCTTGATGTTGTTGCTATCAGTAGACTTGCCACGATTTTTGCGTCTTTCAACAACATCCTTGTTTTCGAGCGAGAATTCAATAATCAAACGCTTGCCCTTGAAGATCTCGGGATTGTTATTAAGGTATCGTAGAGCTGCAAGTGCATGAGCATGAGTAGTGAATTCCAAGAAACCGTAACCCTTGCTTCGAAGTTTGGATGTTTGTGAATCGACACGATCCTTGCTTCGTACAATCTTTGCTTGTTTGACCTTTGGTAAATATTGCCAGCCTTCTTCTTTTTCTTCCTTTGTCAAATCCGATCGCAGGTTACGCTTGACTTGATCTTTGAATTTCTGAACAGCCGAATGACCAAGTTTCTTGAGTTCTGTGTCGTCAACGCTGATTGGAAGATTACGAACTGAAAGACGTGTTTTGGAGATATACAAGGCAGGGTCCCGACTCATTAATCGTTTACGAGTGGCAAATGCCAATTGTCGTTTCTGGAGTTCAGCTTCATTCATGGATTCAGCTGCTGGTGTACCAGGAAAGACCACACCTTCATGCATCAGATACAAGTTACGTTTGTCTTCCTTTCTTCTCATATTCTCCTTTTCTTCAGTCAACTTGGTTGCATCCTTTCGTTCAACAGCTCGAGTGATATCCAATACACGTCCATCCAAGGTGAATTTGAGACCACCACCTGATCCAGCATCTGGTGTCAATATACTGTCAAACACAAGACCCTTTTTCTTCTTTTCACGATTGGTCATGAGCATTTCGGAATCGTTTGCTGCATCATCATCATCTCGAATAGCGCTATTCTTGAATCGATTGTATTCTTCAAGGCATTTGTCAGCATCAGCCTTGTTCTTCATACAAATAAATCCAGTGCCACGTGATAAGCCGCTTATTTTGTTGCGTGTGATTCGTGCATAAATGACAGGTCCCCATTGTTTGAAACTAGTGTTCATATCCACATTAATAAAGAGAATCCACAATAAATGAGTAAATCAACTTACATTTCCTTGAGACTATCCTCAGTTGATTCAAACAAGAGATTACGCACAAAGAGCGTTTTACCCTCGGATGCTGATGGTAAAGTGTTTTCTTTGCTGGGTGTTTTTTTCACATCTTGATCCTCGTCGACATCCATAGGTTCGATATCCTCTTCATCGTCATTATCCTCATCTTCTTCATCTTCATCCTCATCTTCTTCATCTTCTTCATCTTCTACTTCTTGTTCAGTATCAGCTTCAATCTCGGCATTCTCGGTTTCTGATTCAGATTCATCCTCGCTATCACTGGATTCATCCTCGCCACTGCTACTGCTGCTGCTGCTGCTGTTCTCGTCCACAGAATCATCCTCTTTAGTTACTTGTTCCTTTTCTTGATTGTCCTCCACTTTCTGATATCGATCCTTTGATAGCGACCAATCGACAGCAATCATACGACCGTGATGTTGTGTTGCATTAAGCTTTGCCATAGCCTGAACGAAAATAAAACACCATAAGCATACTTTCAATCATAATGAATAGATACAAAAACATACCGTTTCAGCATCCTTGACCTTATCAAATTGAACGAAACCGAAACCACGTAAAGGGCCACCAGGGAATTTGCGTGGTAAAGAAACATCCTCCACTTGGCCATGCTCTGAAAAGATACGACGTAAATCGTTCTCATTGTATTTCCAAGGCAAATTGCGTACAATAAGACGTGCTGCTCTAGTACGTGCTTTCTTGTTGGATTCTTCAGGGATTGCAAGTGCTGAGGATGGCTTTTGTCGCTTCTCGCCTAGTGTTGACTTGCGTTGTGCATAGTCCAGCTTGAGACGACGGCCCAAAAACTTTGCATTCTTCAACTTTTCAATAGCTTGTTGTGCATCATCGGTGACTGCAAAGTGAACATAGCCAACACCTTTGTTCTGAAACTGAGGATCGTCTTCTTTGACTTTGCCTTTGCTGCGATCGGCAACAACAAAGCAATTACGGATCGGGCCAATATCGCTAAAAAACTCTTCCAATTGTTTGCTGGTTGCATTTCTCGGTAGATTGCCGACGAATAGCGTCGAAACTGCCACTGGTTTGTTGCTGTTGGTCTCTTGGTCAGCCATGGACAGAATGGAGTGTGTTGTGTGTCAAGCGGGAAATGTGGGATTATCATTTCTCTCTCCCAACCTGACAAAATTGAATGTGCACCAAAGCCACCATCTACAAGTGATGATTCCTTTACTGCTTCAATGCATAAACGAGTGCTATAATATCATTTGCCACTCAATATATAGATCTGCATCCAATACATGTATTGATTTACACAATAGTACCTTAAATGCAAACAGATGAAATAAACGCAGGTGGTGGGGTATCTTTATATAATAATTGACATCAAACGATTTACAATATTCAAGGGGGTTATTCAAAGAGAGACAAAGCCAAGATATCATCATAAAACGATACCCAAAGAGAGAGAAAATAGGTGCACATAACACGAGCTCGAGTTTTTACTTTGTCACCTCCTTGGACTCGACACTCCTTATACTCACAGAAAACTACATGATCAGTATCTAATGTTGGTCGTGAAAGTATACTAAAGATAGGTATGGGTCGAGTGTATGTACGATCCCACCTCCTCGTCCTGATATTGCTGGTCAGCTCGTGTACTCCTTTTTTCTACTTCCCCTTAATACTCGTCCACTGCAAGTTTGAAATGCCGTAATACCTTTCAGGTAACATCCACTATCTGTAAGCTGAGAAAGCATGATATGTACACTCCTACAAGTGCTCATCATGACAATCGTCCTTTATTGTTCCTTTTCTTTCTCTTTTCTTTAATCTTTTTTCTTCTCTTTACATTCACCCTAGCCTCTCGTTATCATCATTTAGCTAGGTATGTATTTATATAAATGACAACATGGATGTGGGGTAAGCACGAAAAAAAAATTCCACTGACAAAAAAATCACTAGTTAAACATGGGATTTCCCATATGGATCATCGTTGTTGTAGTCGTTGTTGTAGTCGTATTGTTCTCGGGTATAGGTGGTTACATTCTCATATCTCGAAAGCGACGAGAAGCATCACCTGCAGTCGATGTCGAAGCACATGTTACTGAAAAAGTGATTCCTGCAGCACCCATCCTGGAAGAACATCCCAGCACTATCAGTGACCCACCATCTTATGCTGCAAAAGACATTCAACCATCACCACCTGTATCCACAACAGAGCCATGCCCTGAAGAAAAACCATCTCAACAACATCAGGCTAAAAGAAAAAGCTCACGCAAACATGAGAGCAAGATCAGTTTACCTATGCCACCAGCTTCTAGTTCACTATTTTCCGACAAGATGGAATTGAGCTCTGAAGAAGCCATGGAACTATTTGATAGGTACATGAATGCCGATCTAGACAAGTCCAACAACAACAACAATGGTGGTGGTTTTACAGCCAATATTCAACAAAAAGCAGCCACCATTCGTAGTACAGTGCGTATGTCATTAAGACGCAAATCGACCAGCAAAGGTGGTGGATCGACACCTCTCAATCAATTGTTTGATAATGATAACAATAACAAACCACCAGCATCACCATCTGTTTCATCACACCATACGGGTAGTACACCCTCCTTGGCTGATCATCCGTTACCCCCGACACCAACTACACCTTCCTCCTCATCCAGACAACCACATTATCAGCAATCAATTGCAGTTCCCCCTTCACCAGCACCACCAACACAAACGCATGATGACAATACGACATTACCTGCAGCTGTAGAAGAAGCTGCTAGTGCTGCTTACAATACTTCTGGTAAAGCGAATACCAACAACAATGGTAATGCAGCAGCAGCAGCACGTCGAGTGATACGTACAGCATCCAGAAAAAGCAAGACACGATCCATGCTTGTGAATGAAAATGATGTCATGAAAATGTTTAGTAATGATCCTGGAAACAATGCTACTGAAGAACAACATGAACCATTACCAGCAGGCGCAGTAGGATCGGTGCGTCGTTTAGCACGTGAAATGAATGAAAAGAGTGCATCAGTATCAGCTATGCGTGCTCGAAATAAAGGCAATACAGCAAGTGCACGTGATATTGCTGAATGGTTCCCTGATAAGGGTAGTCATAATGGCACTGCTACAGTAGCAGGACGTGTTCCTCATCATCGACCTGCACCTCCTGTTCAAGATATGTTTTCTCAAGACAACAACAACAAGGGAGCAG